CTGTTTTGTGAGGTGGAGGACTTTGTGGACTGGTGTTGGGTTAATGGGTTAATGTTGGACTTATGGGCTTGGGCAGCATTGGGTTGGGATGTTTTCATGATGCACACTTTCTTTACATAAAACTCTCTTATATATGAGTTGCTGTGGATTTGTTTCTTTAAAGTACCTAGACTAATACAGGTATGTATATGATTGGTAGGATGTGAGGGGAGCAGCTGCAAGCAGCTGTATATAATTAAGAGGAGCAGTTACATCTTTTGAGCAGAAGTTTTGGGCTTGTGGTAAAGTCGACATGGTAATTTGGAAACCAGCAGGCTATTTGAAGCATTATTGATGTGACAAGTTAAGGGACTCTTGAGCACCATACAGAGGAGCTTCTGGTTTCACACAGATCTCTTGGGTCAAAATGATGATCTGAAACACCAATATTTCTATGCCATTTTCCAGGTTACTTGGTCCTTTATGTATTAACTGTCATTATCTTATTGAATCTGTAGGTGACTTAAAAAATCATTTTATTTTCAGCTCTTATGTAAGAGACCTTAGCAGCTCTTGTAATATTCCATCAATTGTATCAAGCATATTTGTATGTATGTTGCCATTATAATTTTCTAAACATTTATTTTATATTTGAGCCCTTGGTATCAGCTCCTCTTTTTCCCCCTCCTTCCTTTCCCACCCTTGTGACCCCTTGATAAATTATGAATTATAATGATTTTCATATCTTACACCGACCATTGTCTCCCTTCACCCACATTTCTGTTGTTTGTCCCCCTGGTTGGGGGGAGGGGCTTATGCATAGATCATTATGATCCATTCACCCTTTCTCCTGTCCTCCCTCTACCTTCCCCCCACCCTCCTGGTACCCCTTCTCCCATTTCTGTTCCTGAAGGGTTTATCTGATCTGGCTTCCATGTGTCATGAGCTCTTATCTGTACCAGTGTACGTACTGCAGTCTAGTCAGAACTGAAAGGCAGGACTGGGGTCTTTGAGGAAGCCGCAAAGACCCAGAGGAATATCATGTGTTTCATTGGTGATCTACTGCACCCTCATTGACTCATCCCTTTCTTATGACCCTTCTGTGAGGGCATGTCCTATTGTCTACAGATGTGTTTTAGGTCTGTGCTCCAACCCCTCTTATTCTCAACAATACGTATTTTGGTTTTGTTGCTGTGGGTCTTCTGGTCCTGTTACCGGATTCTGTCAACACCTCGTGATCACACAGGCTGCTGTGCTTCTTCCATGTGGGCTTGTTGTTTCTCTGCTAGTCTTTAAGACCCCAGATGATACTATATCTTTTGATAGCTGGGCACCTTCGGCTTTCTTCACCACATCCGGTTATACACCCATTTTTGTCTTCAGCAATCATGTTGGGAGGGTGACTATACAGAATGCCAGGTTGTAAGAACAAATTGTTCTTGCATTGAGGGAGGGCTTAACCAGATGCCTAACGACCATCTACTTCCTTAATGTATTGCCATATAAATATATGTGCATAATTAACTAAATATTTACATAAGTGCACACCTATGTTGATACCCCTATCCATGGCTTTGCTTCCTAGATCTTTCCTCTGTTTCCTTTTACCTTCCTCCTGCCCCACCATCACCCTTGCCTTTCTTCTGCCTCTTAGTAATTCCTCTCAGCTAGATTGCTGTTTCTCCAACACTGCAGGGATCTCTACATCCTCATGGTTGTTTACTTTAATTCCCTAATTGTACCCCTGTCGATGGCACTGTTTGCTCACCACTCCATTCCCCCCACCTCCTTCAACCCCCAAGTCCCTCCAGAACTATTAGTCCCATTGGTTTCTCCTCAGGCTTGCTCCCATGCCTATATAAGATAGGCAGATAACACAACAATAACAGAGACAAAACAAAAGATTGAATAAAAAAGAAAAAAAAAACTAGCAAAAAATCAAAACAAAATGAAAAAGCATACATAAATCCAGAGGGGATCTTGGAACTGCACCTCCTAGTCTGAAGTATATTTTGGGGGCTTCTTAGGGGTTTGTGAGTTGGCTTTGCTCCTGTTGCTTATGTGTTATGTTCCTTTCTTGGTTGGCCCCACTGTGGGGGGGTTCAGACTGGACTCACTCCCCGCCGTGTGTCCCCAGTATTGTCCTCTGTCAAGGTATGCTCCAGCGAAGGGACATCATGTCTCGATCTCTTGTCAGCCCTTCAGTCCTCTCTGTGCCTTAGCAGCTCCATGCAAGGATGCCATCCTCAGAGTTTGGTGTGCCCGTATGTGGTCTAGTCCCTTGCTCTCTCTTTTTCCTTCTTGGTTTGCTTCTATATGGCCATGGTAGGCCAGCCCCTCTCCCCAACTTGTATATTTAGCATTGTCCTCTGTAGCACATACTCCTAGGGTAAGTGGGTAGTCAGTTTGGCTCTGATTGGCCCTGCCGACCTCTCTGATTATGAGTTGCTCCTTGCGATTATGTTGCCCTCAAGGCTTAGCTTCCCGTGGTGGGGGTCTGTCCTCTGTAGGTGACCTTTTTGAAAAGAAAAGAATGAAGTGCAGTATTTTACATATACAGAAATACACTCATATATTAAGTGACATGTGCAAGATCACGGCCAATTAATTGGAGAGTTGAGCTATGTAGCCCCCAGCCCCTCACTCTAAATTTCATTCTTGGTTACCCCTCCTCCACTTGTTCCTGAAGTCCTTCACTTTGGGGCATAGACACACAGGAAAGTACACATGCTTAGGAATGCCTCTTCTAGATCCAACTTTGGAAAATGTCTGCTGAACATCTCAGGTCTCTCTCTCTCGCTCGCGCGCGCACACACACACACACACACACACACACACACACACACACACACACACACAGTGAAACCTGTGAAATCAGGTAGAAGCTTACTGTTTTTTTTAGGTAGAAACTTTTCATCAAATATTTTCCACTAGTAGAAAGGTAATAACTGCACCCTGTTAAAGGCAAAACACCTGTGAGACCTGGTAAAACAAGGCATTTCCATCAAGTTCCAGTACTCATAAGTTCCACTATGTGCATGTCTATATTGGTGTCATCTCTGTCATGTCTATGTCATCTATATCAAAGTCTATGTCTATATATCTATACCTAAACCTGTATGCATATATATACATACATATATATATGTGGAAAATAGAATTAAAAGATAATGGAATTCCCCCCCCCCC